ACGCACGTGTATATTGAAGACTATCAGCAGAAAAATAATTTACATTGATACAAATTTATTATATAATTATGGACGTTTATGACCATAGATATAATTCTTATCGTATCCCTTAATCTCTATTTAATTATCATAATACTGATATTACACGCAAAATTAGTTTAATAAACTTGATATTAATAGATACAACGTTACCAGCGTCTAATTATAATCTCGGACGCACGTTCACCGTACGATAGAAAAAAAGGAACTTTTGAGCGAGTTGAGATAGTAACACTTTGCACACAAGGTGTTAAACGCCGTGTTAACCGTAATGTGCATATAGAATGTGAGACACTGATTAATTGTGTAACGTTATCTCATTGTTACATGTTCCATTATTAATAAAAATATTCATCAAAAGATCATGTTAATTTGTTTCAAATGGTATAAAGTTTTTAGAATTTACGTGAATAAACATATAAAATTATGAATTAATAATGCGATTCTGTGATATCACTAAACTGTCGTTCAATATTATAACAATATATTTAGGATAGCTTACGAAAATATTATTAAATATCAGTTAATAATGTTTGTGTACATAATATGTGTGATATTAAGATTAGTTTTCGCACACTGTAATTGTTTAGGCGTCATCTAAAATATTATATGTGTGTTGTGTGTATTGTTTTGCGCGCGCGTGTGTGTGCGTGTGTGTGTGTATGTGTGAGTGCGTGCTACTGCAATAAATCTAATGCGAGAAATTTCGGAAATACTTCAATCATTTGTCAGTCGGATGCAATTATGCAGTTATCACGCTAGCTGCGGTCTTCTAATAATCACCAGTCAGTGTCAGTAAGAGAGATATACTTCGCACTCTCGGTATTCCGCGTAATTGACAGCAGCATATTTCCATACTTCGAAATATTATAACGGCACTGAGAGTGGAAATAATACAATATGAATCTATAAAATTAAAAAGAAACAGTTTTATTGATCGATATCGCGTCAATACTATTTTCATAGAAGTTTTGTATTCTTATTTTCTATGACAAACGATCATTGCCATGTATAGAAATAAATTTCAGTTAAGCCTTTCCAAGTGTCAGCGCAAACGACACCGGAGGGAGACGAATAAAGGTAAAACAGATTTCGCATCTCAACTTCGAAGAAGCGGATTACGTATTTCCGCGGACTGCGACATTTTCCCGGTACTTTAAATTTAACTTAGACGTTTCAAAGCTATTTTATTATTCATTAAGGTGGTGATTTCAACTATGAGTTAAATTCTAATTATGGGTAAAACTTGCAAAATTAAATGTTTTAGAGATATACATATATTAATAAAGTTAGGGAAAACTTTTTTGCGTTTTTGAATTTTTGTAATTATTGTATAAAATTACTTTCTTAATCACTTACTAATATTTAATTAAAAAAGCGGGTTATTTTAATAATTTCTTGAAATTATGATAAATTGTATATTTTTATTATTAATATATCATTATATATGTTAAAACAATATGAATTTTAGTTATTGATATAGATAATTTTACATTAAAGAAGTTTTACACAAAATAATCTGTCGACTCACAATTGTGGTTTATATATACCTAAACATTTTTAAATATTTTTCAAAAATTTGGAGTTTATTCAATATATATCCTATAAAATAATTTCTCTTTAAAAATGTAATATTTATTGCTTATATTAGTATTAATAAATTTCAAATGTTTGATCGTTACATAGATTAATGAATATAACTTTAACCTTACATAACCCTCACAATGGAGACAATCACCTTACGTATTTTTATCACCTATATGTATTTCCTATATACATTACATCTAAAAATTATTCCATTATGTATATTATATACTTGAACTTTAGAAAATATTTCAGCATCAATAAAAGTTTGTACGTATGTAGTTTGATATCTCATACAGACAGCACGCGCATTTTAACATTTAAAATATAACATGGACTTTTTAGAGGGAATAACAATTATAATTCATCTCATTCATCCCTTCTAAATGGGCTTCGTGTCTTTTATATATGCACAAATATGAATGTATGATTGTTAAAATTCCATAAATAACATTTCTATTTCTATTTCTCGCAGATATTTTTTATATACAGAATAATTATAATATATTAAATAATGTAGAAATTGTAGAAATTTTGAGTAACATAAATCAATCAAAAGCAAACAAACATCAGAAATTCGTTGGAAACTGACAACAAAAATCTAATATAACTTCAACTGATTATATACATGTTTTTCTAGCGTACAAATATATATTTAACCTTTATTAGTATGTATGATATAAACTTTTCTCGCTTGTTATTTAGTAATATATCTAACTTTTTTTTATAATTGTACCATATTCTGAACAGAGAAGTAGAGAAAAATTTTTCAAAATATATTTTAAAAGGAGCAAAGTTTCTCTTGAATTTTTATTGTCCCATAACTATAAAGAAAGAGATCCATAAAGTTTCATTTTACACTACACAAATATTAAAGACAGATCTCTTTTTACTTTGTGTAAAATTTTCAAAGTTTACATAAAATTAATCTCATATAATTTTAAAATATAAGAAAAACTTTAATGTTACGTTTATTTGCTTTTAACATTTTTCAATTTGTATTCATATTATATATATATAGTATATATATATGTATATATATTTCAACATTATTATCAATCCATTATTACAATTTAGAAAAATCAATCCAGTTGGAACATGTTATGTATGCAATATGCGATTTCATCTCATTAATAATTCATCCGTAAGAATATATACAACAAATTTTTAATTTTGTACAATTACATGATCGTAATAAATAATATTCGTCATTTAAAAAAAAAAAACTTTTATAATCTGATTCTCATTCGCCCTTTAAACTCTTTGTTATTATTTTATACTAAAAGTCCTGCACTTTTATTAATTTAATTCAGAAAAATGCTACATAATTTATGTCAGTAAAGTTTAACACATTTTTTCTATACGTTTTGTCAAAGATTTTCTTTCGGAATCTTCATTATCATAAAGATCTTTTCTATCGCGAATTTTTCCTTCACTCAGCAGCCTGCCTCTTTTTCGTGTACATGATTCAAAATCGATTGGCACAAAAACGTACTCTATCCACGAAGCGTTGGCTTGAAAGGTTCTCAATCATTCGGTTTTGCGAGAGAATCGATCGCCAATGGTCATTACGAAAACGTAGGACTATTCATTTACACACCAACATCTTAGAAATACGCCGATCCGATAGACTAAAGTGTCTTGTCTCCATAAATTGAAGATTACATAACGATTCTCAATCAATAGCTGATAACCTCGTAAGATTAAAACGAAAAAAAAACCATGTTTAATTCTGATAACACAATCAACGACTCAGAATATAACAAAACTCACGCTGTGACACATGCGTTGACGTCCACTATGCGAGTTATTATACACTATGCTAGTACTGAATGTTGTCACAACAGCTAGTTTTCCTATAATGTAAAGTTTCTACATTTGTATAAAGTCCGGGGGCGCGTTATTGTTACGCCTTTGTACATCGCGGTAAGGCACTCTTTCGCGACAGGTCAAAGAAACTTCAATGTAGAGAAGCTCACAGTGCTTATGACGTCTCTGACGACCTTGAGACTCTGATGACTCTTCCTCCGCTCATGAATCGTACTTCTCTGTATGAGGCACCATTATCAGAATAAACATTAGTCAGCGCGCTAGATTCACGCGTAAAGATGATCAAAATCCAATCGGTTGAAGGTTGGTCCCGAATAAACTTTATCTTTCTGAAGCGTACATAAATCTTCCGATAATCTAATGTTTATAATTTGAATAAAAACCATTTGTATCGCTACCATTTGACATCATATGTAGTTTAGATTAAACAGATAAAAGAAATAAAATAGTTTGCAAAATTAAATAAAATAAAAGAATTTGCGTTTATAATCGTGGGTATAATTTTATAAATAATGAGGAAAAAAAGTGTTTTGAGAGAACTGTTAGTCGATATATCTCGATATCTATCCCTTGGCCTACATGGGAAAGGTAAGCAGGTCATGTGTCTTGAACTATGATTGATACCATTCAGAATGCGCTCAGGACTATCAGTTTTATTCAAACATTAATTTTTTTTCGAAAAGTTAGGCATGTAAAGTGCCAAGCCGACTAATACTTATAATGTATTTCTTATGCATCCTTATAGAATGCTGTTTGTAATATTTTAAGATTAAAACTGTACAGTTTGTAACATTTTAAGATTTATTGTATCATTTGTGAATTTTAAATTTGGCACGTCAAATTATCACTTTATTAACTGTAAAATAGAATATATGAAAGAGAAATTCACTATCGGGGCTAAATCAGACGCAGTTTGATTATCCATTTGTCATACAAGTTTCGTGATTTGGTCAAGGTCGCGTCTCTTGACCACACTGTGTTCAAGGTTCATCGGTTGATCTCATCTCGAAATGTAAAATGAAAAAACTGCAAGGAAAGGAAGTAAACGTGGCAATGTCCGTCCACGAGACAAAACACCGCCCACGAGCAGTCGTGCGAGTAGGTGAAGTCACGCGACGCTATGTGCTCCTCCATGAAATATAAAGTCACGGTAGAGAAAGAGCGTAAGAAGTAAAGGGGTGAGTTGTGCAAGTACATGTATACATAAAGGGTAGAAAGGGATAAAGAAAGAAAGAGATAGAGAGAAAAAGAGAAAGAACTAAGAGAAAGTATAGAGATAGGGGTATATAGTAGAGAGAGATAGATGGGTAGATAGCTGGAGAGGGAAAGCGCGTGTAGACAAAGAGGCGGCGGGGTACAGTAGTAACATGTATCTATACGAAAGAGTTAATGGATAGAAAGAGATAACGCGATATAGAGGATAGAGTGAAAAGGGAATCGTAGAACAAGACAGACTGATCGATCGGTATAAAAGTAGACAAAGACAGGGTCAGACGTTTTCCTAGATTGCGAATGTATAACAGTTCGCGTATACATTCCGTACATACCGAGGGCATCAGCTGATCGGTAGACCTGACCCGGGTCACCTTGTTCCTGTAGAGTACCCTTTTAACCATTTTCTCCATTGGCTGGTTCCACTTCATGAAGCTCACATATCCCAAATAGAATCCAAATAGCACAAGTGCCTCATACCAGTATATATAACTATCGCGGAAGAAGTAGATCAGGGTGAGTAGACTGGCGCTATAGAAAGTGCAGTCGCGAAATAGAGGCCACCATGTGAGCGATAGCACCGTACGCGAGAATATAGCGCACATGCCGATCACGAAAAGGATGTTGAAGACGGCGGAGCCGACGATAGTGCCGATACCGACATCGTCGAACGACACGAACACGCCTATGATCGATGTGAAGAGTTCGGGCGCCGATCCACCGGCCGCCATGAAAGTAGCACCGGCCACATCGTCGGCGATATCGAGCTTCTCGATAATCACATCTAATGACGGTACGAAGAACTCGTCGCAGACAATTGCTAACGCGACGAACATGTACACCACGCCAAGTATATGAAGTATCACGGCGCCGCGGCGTCGTTGATCATTGGTGATTGACGTCTGTATTGTTATCGTTAGTCCTATTATACCCGTCAAGATTCGCACCATTGTTTTTGCTATCGTACACTTGCACGCTGGTACCATTACTCAACCGTATTAGGACGGGCATGGCTGTGCTACTCGTGGTGGTATAAAATGTGATCGGATTGTTTGGCGCCGGTCTGTGGCCCGAAGACGACGAGGGTCCCATCGCGAAGGCTAAAACCGCGGAGAGCAGAGTGATCAACGCCAATCGGCGCCTCCGCCTCCAACATGTACGCCGATCACCGCCCGTCACGATCATCGTCGTCGTCGGCGGTGGTGCTGCTGTTGGTGGTTCGTACCTTCGAGGACGTTCGCCGTCGTTAGCGAGGCCTCCGTCCTCCTCCTCCTTCGCCACCTTCTTCTTCTTCTTCTTCTCCGTCCTCCTCGGCGTCCTCCACCCTCTCCTTGGTCCCCTCCGCCGCCAGCACCACCTCCGACTTCTCCACCACCTTCTTCTACGTGTCGTATCGTGTCGCGCCGCGGAGGATGTACGACAGGAGAACCGTACTAAGGCTGGGTCATGCTGGAGCGGCGATGAGGAGCGGCTCCTTGCCGATGCCTCCCTCTGGATGGACCTACCTGCGTGTGACTGCGGTAGTCGATCCTCCACCAGCTCGTTTTCCTTCTCTTCGTTTCTCACACTGCGTCCTCCTCTTTCTCGTTGCTATCTCGGCGAGCTTTTTCACTGGATGTTCACGATGTGCAGACTGACAGGATTAGTCCGCGACGTGTACTACGATTACTATTACTACTACAACTACTGCTGATGTACGCCGCTACTACGAACAGGCTCGGGTATTCGACGCGACCAATATTCTTTTGTTTCCCGGCGGCGTCGGCGTCGTCGTCGTCGTCGTCGCCGTCGCCGTCGTCGCCGTCGTCGTCGCCGCCGCCGTCGCCGTCGCCGTCGCCGTCGCCGTCATCATTATCATCATAATCACCATCATATCATCATCATTATCCTCATTGGAGCAATATTTTCATTGGAAGAAAAGGAAGGTTAGTTTCAACGATGGGAAACGTTCACACCTGCGGCCCGAACGAAGCTCTTGTAGTATCAGGTAAATGCTTTATTAACTTTCCGAGTATCATTA